GGCTGTTTCGTCATTTGAACGGAGTGTACTGTATTTCGGATGCTATAACAGTTTAAATTAGGAAGGTGTAAGTCGGGCAGGTACCCTGTTTTTACGGCTTCCCTTTAGCTATCAAACCTTAGAATAGCGTTGGAGTAGTACCAAAATTCGCGAACGTCTCAGCCGTTTCGTTACTGCTAGAGACAGGCTTTGACTCTCGGGAGGCTTCTTCTCATCACTTTCTCGCATTATATTGTGAGTTGCTCAGCTCATTTCTTTCACACTAGCCCCTGCGAAATTTGTCGTATACTAAAGACGTTCCCAGAGCAGCAGGTACAAGACCAAGGCAAATTAGATTACTGTTATTAAAAATTCACGCTGACTGAATTGACTCCTAATTCACAAACCAAAACAATTAGCATAGCGAAGTTGTGGCTTCGGTTTGCGACTCATTTGCAGATGCAGGACTGCCCAGTACGCCGATCGATGAGTCGCATTCTGAAAAATTTCTCTGCAAGTTCCTTTCAGGCTTCCTGATTACCAGTCTAGCATTTGTAAATCCAGGTATTTATGTAACTGCAGGCCCAAAGCCAAAGTAGGCACGCGTTAACAGTTATTAGTGCCAATGTCCCATAAAGGACTTCTCCTTTTCGCCTCGTCTTTACTTCTACCGAAGGATCTTTTTGAATAATCCAAACATATTCAGTCACAAATACGAGTTAGAGCCCGTCCTATCGCTTTCCAAGAAAGTTCAAACCATTGTAGTCGCTTTATCCTGTTCTATACAAGGCGCCACTGTACCTTGTGCCCTTACGAGAAGTGATTTCTAAAAACGAGCGGGAATATCCTTTACGTGAGTGAGGATATGTTGGACGGTTTTTAATTACGGGTGACAATCATTATGGGTAGAAACAGTCCCGATCCATTACACCCCTCAGATTCAACTCATCTTACGTAATCCCTGCCGTGCTACACTCATACTTGACAATGTCAATGTTAAAATAACTCATTGTTAGCAGATGAACGACGGATAGGTTCGTTCGTGTTTGCTACCGTTCATGTAAACCGCACAGAACGTCGATGATCGTGGGTTGAACGATTGTCTTTGGCGGTTAACAATTTCCAGCTTTGTTCTTTCGTATTCTGATCTGTTTCTAATGCCAGTTGTTTTGACAACACATCACTCAGTCTCATCAGATTCTGTAGCTGGAAAAGCATTTCAGATTGTCAAGCATCACATGTATATACAACGTAAATAAGGCCAATTTGCTTGTTAATCTAGAAGCGCAGACAGGTAGCGCTCGTTATCGATATTCGGAAGCGTATAGATAACAGTGTGAGCCTGAAATGTATCTGAACGTCATTGCAAGCTAGCCATCAGATGTTTCAATGCCGTAGAAACAAATTGCACACGTTCACTGTTAAATAGATACTGAGGGGTTGCGTAGACGGCCTGCCACCTGTCATAATCGCTGGGTCGTAAACATTCGTTTCATCTATACCTCATTCCAAACCTAAAAATACCTGAAATTGCAAAAACGCGTGTCATTCCATCTTTTCTGCTTGTCTGAAAATTCCTACCTTCATACATTTAGCGATGGCATTATTGGCAGGACGTTATCTAGAATCATAGAAAACCAATGCAGTGCACACACCGCAAGAAAGCTGAAATATATAGATTCGCCATTAATGCTAAACAGAGCGAAACTATAGGGGATTATTGGCTTCAATAAAAGAACAATGTTTATGAAAATTAAAGTTCACTGCCTTAGATACTGTTGTTGCGACCCTGGTAAGTTAGTGGCTATAAAAACTGATAACTGTTACATAGAACGCAGAACGACAATATGGATTACAGTTACGTAATTTATGCAACGTTAGCCTAATCAGCATTGCGACCGCTCATGCGAACTTCATGAGTCACTTACTTCCAATACTTATAGCCCTTCAACGTAGTAAAATAACTGTCTATGGCACTGTCGAAGCAGAGTCAAAATCGTGCACCGCCGAAAACAGTCTGAGTATGAGTCGTTCATATTTAACTTTTACTTTAAGTAAACTCGCCAGATCCCATACGATTTTTACAGAAGTGGCCTTATGCCTATAGTAGGATTTGTTCACCCTGCATCGCGCGTAGTTCATTGCAGTTACAAAACATGATCTGCAATAGACATTTCAACGCTAAAAACGAGAAAGAACATTATATTTTTAGTGTGCATTTATCGCGTCATGGATCATAAAAAACATTACGAACATCTGTTAAAGTTATATATATATATGCGAAGTTTATTCGCTATATTAGATTATGAACGAAGGTTTTCATCAAGATTCGTGTTTCTTCAATGAATTCACAAATCTGTAGGTTAAAAGGAACTCATGATTTGTTCAGTGAAGAAATCACTGCTTTCGTTAGTGACCCGGAAGACGCAATAGCCCACGGAAGAATTGGCTTCAAACCATTTCTTCTTGGGAAACAGTAGTTGCCGCAAAAGGGTTATGACCTTTTCTTTTTTTTTTTTTTTCCATTTTTAGCATTCGCAAACGTTTAACTGGTTATTCAAGGTGAAGAGAATGAATTCAATTTGATCTAATGTCTTCTTTAGATTTCTAGGAGACTGTTTTTCACTGAGAAACGCCTTTGAATTTGAAGATAAGAAAGTAGAATTTAAGATAATGGCTCACACAGCGCTTTGATAATTCAAGTGCTCAACCCTTTATGAATAGCTAACGTCTTCGTTTGTCGTTCCTTAACGCCAGATGACGCTAGCAGTATTACAATGCCTAGTTGTGGATAGATAAGCTTTTAAGGTTAGACAAATTGATGCGAAGTCTAGTTTTTTTTTTCTCAGAGAATGCATTATGTTTAACTTCATGTAGTACGAATGGTGTCCTATTTATCTGGCAGCTGTTCACTAAATCCTTAGCTCGTCAGGACATACTAAGCATGCATCAATATTATTGTCATAGTAATAGCAATAAAAAAGCATTATGTAAACTTTAAAATTAGCATCACCCCAAAAAATACCGGCACACTAAGACTATTAAGAGTGTGAGCTACTCGTAGAAAATAATGAACTAGATTTGGGTATTTGAATTGGATAAAATTCTCTGATTAGAAATGACTGTTTGCGTCGACTTTTCCAAACTATTCTCTGTTAAACGAGAAGCCTTACATCTACAAAACGTTTAAATTTTGCACCGTTACTTACTACAATTTTATGAAATGTATAAGCCTGAATACGATCGAGCGCATGATCTGTCGAAATGAATATGGCTCTACAGAATTAAGCTACTACATCAAGTGGCCGTGAGAAACATGGCCGGATATCACACTAGGGGCTGAAAATAACAAAATCATCCGTTTTAGATACGGACACGTAGTTGGTAAAAGGGGCTTCAGATGCGCAGCTGATTTACAGTTTCCGCTCTTTCAGTATTGAATCACCTTGAATCTGAATCGTAAGCTATTGTTACAAGGGTAATGTAGGAAGGAGCCGACGACCTAGCTAAACCCACTTTAGTCCTCCGCCGAAAACCCTAGCAGGAGGCTTACATTGCGGGATGTTAACCTCGACATGACGTACTATATGCCACGTTTTGTATGACATACCGTTTGTTATACTATTCTATATTGTATTATATTTTGGCTTGTCGGCTATTCGATCCATTGTGTAAGCGAGATATGGATCCACAGTGTTTGTGTCTCCTATGGACTAAGAGACGTGCAAAACGTGTTTATTGCTGCAATGGTTACGGCTGACACCGCTGCCTAAAGTCTTCGGTAAAATCCCGCTGACCTAACACATAGGAGCTAAGCGCCGTCATAACCAAAGATCTCACACTTTGCAGCACGTCGTTGAAGTAAACCCGGGAGTGTTGCAGAAATTAATCAAGGCCCGAATGCAAAAGCCAAAATACATGTAGGCCATTCTCCCTATATTTGTCACCATACAACCACTAGTTACCAATCAGGCGTCACCAGTTGTGGGTAAATTGGCAGTGTTTGAAGCCAATGTTACTCAAGCAAAGCAGCATTGTCAACAATCAGTTTCAACAAGCTCTACGTCGAACCAGCGTACGAACAATATTAAACAAGAATGACACATGAATTTGAAGAAAATATCAGGAATAATTTCAGTATATGCCTATATGAAAGGGAAAACCGTTGCGCATTCACAGACAATGGAAAAGCCACATTACCGACCATAAGACAGCTCAAGACAAATGATCAGTACTGTTATTTATTATAGAAGAACATCAGTCACCAGCAGGTCTTCTTAGCAACAGGGCCAGTTATAAGTTGAATTGAAGAACAACCCCAGGTTGTTTTTATATGAATCGTACAGACCAAGCTGGTAAGCGGGCTGCAAGCGTCCATAGCAGGTCCTCTAATTTAGCCAGTTGCGGATTTCAAACTTTATAACAACCGGTTAGTACCTGGTGTTTAAGTGCAGTGAGCTCGCTGACGCGATAATTGTACGGCTGTTAGGTGCGCGGCCGCGCGGGCGACGCCTGACATGCCATTTTGATGTATTACTTTGCCTAATTCTATCTCTCGTGCGGTCAAGGTAGTTGGTGCGGCGTAAACCAGCGACCCTAGTCAAGGTCGTCAACGTCGCATACAACGGAACTTATCTGCAATCACAAGTTTGGAAAAACGGTGCGGTAGATTTCTGTAACCATTGAGAAGGTTGTGTCATAACGATCCGTTCTAATCAACGCTGAGTAAAATTGGCTGCTTTTCTAGTACTAATGAAAAGCTTGATTCATGTTTGGCGGGCACAGAAAGAAGGAGAGATAAACCTTTGAATGCTGATATTGTTTCAGATGTTCTGTCACCCTGCTGGCCCCCATGTCTGAGTGTAAAAGTACCTATTCCTTTGTCGGCTTATTCTCGTTCTGCGTAGGAGGAGTTAGAACAGTACCGGGGCGACGTTTTCCCGGTCACTCGCTATAAGCTCAAATTATAAACTCCTACCAATATCATAACATCTCAGAATGAATAAGCCTTTGTCTACCAGTTATCATTGATATTTATTTATAATAGTTGTGCCATGAGTAATTATTTAACATGATATCATGAAATGTACAAGGATATTAGTTGTATAAAAATTGTGTCATTTTGGACAATAGTGATAACCATGCTAACCAATAAAAAAAGATGCAATTATTTGATCTTCCTCTCTCATGATTACACTTCTATTAGCAATCTTCATTTTTCAAAGACTGACAAACTTCAAGCTTCTAATGAGCAGAAGATATAATCGGCCCCAGATTGATTGAGGAAGTTTAAATGCGTAAGTACTGCCGATAATCGCAGCGTTCTAGTAAGATACAGTACATTGTTTCGAATACTGATCGCCTGGACCGTGTTCTCGAATGGGTACATGTAGAAAAACCGTCCAGAAACGACCGTTCCCTACATCCTTGTGTAAAAATTTCATGTTATAAATTGATTAATTATTTGACCTAGGCTACTTGGAGTGGACAATTGAAAGCTAGCGTCGCTTTATCTCAATTTTATCAATATTTTCGAGCTATTGTTTGAACAGTTATCAATAATTAGACAAGAGCAACTGGAGAAAGTAATAGGGTGCCTGAATGTAAAATTATAGATCATTTTGCAATTGAAAAAATGAGAAACACAGATAAATGTATTGTACTCAAATCCATTCCCCGAGATGCGAACCGTCTAGGTACACGTTCTTCTAAATGTGTCAGGCATATAGGCCGAGTAGCTATCTTAGCTAATGTTCTAACCAAACACGAAACCTAAAATTGCAGCTGGAATTCACCGCGCTAAGCTCAGGCGATCATTTCATATAGAGCCAAATTCATTGCCCTGACGTTGTCCTGAATGAAAAAGGCAGATCCTGTTCCGGTGGGGTGTTTCGTTAACGGCGATTTGGCCTACGGGGCCGGTAGCTGCTTTTAATAATGAAAGGAAACAGGAGGTATTGGCAAGGCATACTAAAGGGGGCTGTAGACGCAGTGCAGTTTCTTCCTATGACTCCTGCTTACAATAACGTGCACCGGACGATCCGCTTCGGTCGGGGGGATAACACTGCCAAGATGGCTTCTTCGAAAACCTGCAAAACACACGGACGTTTGCCAACTATTGTCAAATATTACAAGTATCATATCAATTAAGTAAGCTTTTTTGTTTTATTAATTTTGTCTAAAATATTTAATTAAAACGTTCTAAAATGATGAATGTCAGCTCTTTTGAAAGGCATGTTCGATTACTTCGTGAATCTATCCAGCTCAGAAACTCAGTATGCGGTGCAGGTTAATATACTACAACGCTGCAAACATAAAAGCTAACTTATTCTAGTTTAGACGGCGTCACAAAACAGCGTCAAACGCAGATTTTTTTTTTAAAAAAATAGCTAATTTCTACGTTAATGTAAAACGACTCTCGTTGACGCAACGGCTTGATGGGCAATCTCTGTCTGGGGCTATTGGTTCGTTATTAACACGTGCTACATAATATGTATGATTGATGAAGTAACGAAAATATAAAATAACATTAGATTAATATAAAATAAAAGTATGTAGTACCATGCATACGCACGAACTTCATGCCGAGAAACATCTGCACGATATCTAATGTTGTATCCGAGACAGCAGAGCTACCATGCCAAGATACTTAGTGTATTAGAAAACGAGAGTTAAACGAAGATTGTAGCATTTACACATTGGTTTGATTTACGCATTAAGGCAGTCTATGAATTTACAAAATCTCAACAAATGACTGAAACAGGCCAACAGAAATAGCAGTAGAACGAATTGTCTTTCGGGTGACTTTATGTATTACAGCGAAGCCCTTTAGGTTGATTAATGAGTATTTTTCCTAACCTTCTTACCTCGCGAACACCCTGGAGTTCTTTTGAGGAGCATTCGAGATAGCAGCGAGCACCCAGCTTTCTCGCCGTTTGCTTTGCCGTCCGCTTGCTAACGAACTCACTGTTCTATAATGGAACAATGCGATGAGCGGTTACATGGGAAATATCGACAAATAGTACTTCTTTTAATTAAAAAAAAATGATTATCAATTTAAGCCTGCTACACTCTAATAATAAGGTACAGGTCGAGGTTGTTAAATACAGGCGAAAGGTAAGCTAATCATTTTGGATTAAGCTAGGCGCATTGTTAGCGAAAAACATATTCTTCGTTGAAAAATCTTTGCTTCTGAGAGTATGCAGCACCTACCTGTAAGCCTACCTCTAGCTTATTGTTACAATTCAAATCATAAGCTATCGTACTCGAGACTTGTCCGACATTTCAGGTCGGATTGGATGGCGCCTAATCACTAGGTTTATCACACTCTACTGATCAAATTTAACGATAGGACTAATGGGCACCTGTTGGTGCAGATTGATTTTTTCGAAATACTACGGCCTTCCAAATGTCAAACTATTTTTTTTGCTGAAAAAAATAACTCTTCATTTATTCATTTGTGGTCTTCATTTACATTGTAAATCATCATATCAGAGATCCTTGGGCGAGAGACAAAAAACCGATGCTACAGCTATGCATATAAGACATACAAACATGACAGACCTGCGGCCTGTGAAGGTTAAGGCTTTCAGTGGATCGATGAAAATCAGTTCGACGGAGATCAGCCTTTGTTCCGACAAGTACGAACGGCACCTCCGAACAGTGATGCCGAATCTGTAGAATGTATGGAGACCTGTGTCAGAAAATTTTTGAAGTTGCATCAAACCGGCGGGCGAGCTTCTATAAAGTTAAAACCCTATCCGATTTGGATATAGTACTTCCTCTTTCTTTTTCCGAATGCACCGAATTTTTAGTAGGCTAAACAGATATTCTCAGTGCTAGAAGTCCCACCGCCTGCTGTCTGTAGACTTTTACGCCGGACTGTATGACGGTAAAGACGTTCGCAAAGACGCACCAATAACTGATATAATGAGATACGTTTGTCCTGCATCATATAGCAGCAAACTACGTTCGAAGCAAAATAATCCGGGTAAGATCTGATCGTATTCGAAATACTGTTCAAGCTTTCCAGGTAAACAATTTCATAAGCTTACAGCGCGTAACGGGCTAATGTTGATACAAGGGAAATTAATAAAAAATACTTCTACGCTATACTGATTCATCATAAGATAACGCACAATGATACAGAAAATCCACAATAGCAGCCTACGCTGAATCTATAGGTGCGCATGACTAGAGTGAACTCGATCATTTAACCGAAAACCAGCCGATATACGACTTCTACTAAAACGATCGATGCTTCGAATTTTCGAAGAAAGATAAGGTTACAGTTTATGTCAAGGGCGGGCTGATACGTAAATTGCAATGGAAAAAAAAATAACACTAGTACATAACTATTAAGAGCGATTTCAGTCTTTATAGTGACGACTAGCGTACCGAGGCGAACCATAAGTAAGTATGTAAGCCCGAAATGTATAATAATAAAAATGTAAGTAAAATATATTTGTCTTTTTCCAATACAGTGTTGGAAATCGTTTACCTCAGGATACCATTTATGAATAATATTATCGTGTGATGCTTTCGAGCTCACGCTGAAGCACAGGATGAACACATCCGTCTGAAATGCGCGAAATCAGCAAAAAGTATCATAAAAGTTAAGGTAGGACACACACTTCGGATGCTCGTTTGGTTGACGGAACGGTACAGAGAAAAAAAAAACAGGATGTGGTCTCTCTCGTTTTCAAATAATTTCCAAGTCAGCTCATCGTTGATCAAGTAATTTGCTCTGCTGCTAAAATACCTCACCCCTGGATAAGAGAGCGGTCTTAGACGTTCGTAGTCCTCTTGACCAGCAGTATCCCACAGATTTACGTTTATAACACCTTGGGGCAACTGATGACTTCCAGCGTAATTGTCAAATCTGCAGAATTGAATAAGTAATCCCTTTTGATTAAATGACCAAAAGTTAGAACATATATATATATATATATATATAGAGTGACTGGTGGATTGCTGAACAGAACGTTGGTAATGCAAAGCTTTCTGTTCTTATTTGTTTCATGCGGTTGTTCAGCATTTGTATTCCACAGAGCTGCGGACAATGGATTTTTAGCAAAAATAAACATTAAAAAAGGTTTCAGTAAGTAATACGTTATATTTTAAATATCTTACCTATTTGCTTGTGTTCTATTGCAGACTTTTTTTTTTCTTTTTTATACTAACGCTTCAATGGCGCGTATGATCTGTTTGAGCATAGCCATTTCAAGTGAGAAAAGTAGATTTCTTAAATATATTTTAGCTGACTTTTGAGGTTATGACCAAGCTTCTAGCACTTGATAAGTAAGCCTCAAAATCACTAAACACTATCTAGATAGTGATCACAATTAATCGAGTGCAAAGGTTTCAATAAGAGTTCCTTGAAATCAACGATAAAAAAGCTATGTATACCAGACAGACTTGTTAACGGCTGAAGCCGTTCGCAAACGGTAGGTAATTCGAATAAAGATTTACAAAGGCGCTAAACAGATAATTAAGCAATTACAAATTAAACAATTACGGTACGATTCTACTTACACTGTTGGAATATACGGCCCATCTGGAAATTGATTCGTTTTGTACGTGATGAGGAGACACGTTTTGCCCACAGTACCGTCGCCTACGACAACGATCTTTAGGGGGCGCATGTTGCTTTCACCGGGCGTCATCCTCGCACGACAGGAGGCTCTCCTGAAGTAATCAGAGTAGAAAGGGATATGACAAGCCGGGCATTCTTATATATATATATAGTACACCTTCCGTGGCCCTTCATCTTACACTAAAACCACGTTTCATGACACGGCCTTTGTTATATCTCTGGACAGCTTCTATTGTGAATGTGCTTCGAAACGTCTCTAGAAAAGACATACACTTTTAGAGATTTTTAAAGCTAATTAACTTTATTATGCATCAAGCTTTATCTGAGACAAGCAGCAATCCGGCACACTTTGGAACCTGAGTAACTCTCGAACCAGAAACCGCTGACAGACAAAATCTAGTTGATAAATACTTCACTCTTCTAGAAATTTGCAAGCCGGTTTAGTTTGGCCCAGGAAAATTTTGTCGGGAAACACCTTTCAGATTTCCACACTCAGATATCAAGTTTTTGTTCCTCAGGCCACAGTTTTGCGGAAATTAAACACAGATTAGTGACGACAAATGACAAGGAGCTCCTGAGCGACAGAGCAGTACGTGAATTGTTTCAAGGATGAAGGATGGGGCATTGAAGATCAACGAGAAGGTTATCAAAGGTCCCAAAGAACAAGAACGCGTTGTCGTAGTCGAGGTGGCTTTTAACGGAATCACAACCTTCAGAGTCTAATTTGACACTCCACATATAACGTGCCACAACCTAGATACTGGAAATGCAAAAACTGTGTAAAAATGGATCTCCGTGAACCGGTTTCAAACTAGTTATGAAGGTGTATGGTGTATTCAATCCGCAATTGGTGAAAACGTGCGTAAAACATACGATTTCCATTGATGAGGCATAGTTTAATTTTTGCCGCCAGTCGCAGAGGGAGCAAACGAACGAGAAACGTTGTCTTCGAGAAGTCAGATAAGTAAGGTGATGCTGGTGCTAGAAGCATCTGCTGCTATAAGGCATTTGTTAAAAATGAGTACAGATTAGCTATTGGATGGCGATGGCAGATTTCATCAGAACGTATATTCAACATTAACCTCAACCCACTTATCCTCTCCGTATTATTATTATTATCAATTTACCACAGAGAAATTATAGAAAAGATTATACTAGTCCAAACGTTATTTCATTTCGAAGTTCATTGAATTCGCTTCTAAAGGCCTAATCATTTCGAAAGGCTCAAACATCTCAGTAGGCATTAATGCCTACAGTACAATGTAGACCATTTGTATTTGGCCCCAATTGAAAATGGGACGCGTGTAGATTTATTTACCTAGGCGTCGTGAATTTTTTTTTTTCGGGAATCTAAAAAAGAACGTTTCCGCTTAAGCAGGGCTATATTCATTCACTGCGCGTTAAGTTGGAGCGTATCTAAATCTGGTTCGATTGACTGTTTGCTAATTCAACAGCTTGATACCCCCCCGTGGATTAATAATATCGTCTCGTATTTGGTAAGTAAAGCTTTGAAGTCAAGAGGGTGATACCAAACGTACTTGTTGGATTAGGGCTTGTTTCTATCAATATTTAACTTATAGAACACATACAGATAAGCTTTTAAAGATGTCTATGAAATTCTTTCTGTCGATAAAAGCCGCGCAATATGGGTGCTGCAGCAAGTAGATTCCTTACGCTATCAGCAGCCGAAACCGGAAATAGAATCGCGTGACAAAAGGAAAATGTAGGCCTCTGTTTAGCAAGCGACCGTCACTTTACGGAAGTCACACAGGTTCTATTGAAGGATAACCTGCGACATATCAACACACATAAGTACAAAGAGCTTGAAAAAGCCACTTTTAGCCTTTGTATTTGTTTTGACAAAGTAGTCCGATCATGTTAATTCAACAGGACAAATTTGGGCATTGCACCGCAGTACACAAACATTTCGTAGAAGAAAGAAAGAAAGAAAGCAGCGGGTTTTACTACACGGGCATTTCCTTGTCAGACGCAGGTAGACGCTAACTCCGAGTTAGAATCCTTAGTTTAATTTATTAGTGTCATACATTATCTATAAAATACGACCCCCATGTAACTATGTATACGCCCTTGTGTAGGTTTTTTTTGCGTGAGTTACAATCTGACGCTAGCCACTATTTATGCTGCAGCAGATTGCACAAAAGAATGCATGAACCGTGACGTAATGATAGGCCTTCGAGGAACTGACTTTCAGGGCCGTTTTACAGCTTCTTTTAAACATAGGTAAAATAGTCTGTGCTTTCAACGAGCTCTTGCCACGTGATCATCAATTTAGCGTATAAATGGACACGGTTTGTTCTAGTAAAAGAAGGCAATTAAGAGGTAAAAAAGAAAAATTTCACCACAAGGCTTATTTGTATATTAGTATTGAAGGTCTACTACAAGCTAATCCGCCTTTTAATTTTTAACTGAACAATATGTTGCTTGTATGGTCCTAATATATAAAATAAATCTAAAAAAGACCAAGAATTTTTTATATTCGATGTGAAAAATTTGGGACACCAAGACTGCTGAATTATATGAATCGAATTTTGAGAGAACGAGATCTGTACTCCGTTAGATCCTCCAGGAACCTAGCACCTATTATGGGATGGTGTATTGCACTATTCTATCGATCACTTAGGTCAAACCCCTTGCAAATGTTTATGACGTTCGTAAAATGGGTTCGATTTGAAAAATCTATATACATATAAAGCATATACACGCAGCAACTTTACCCGAGTTATACAGCGGTATCTGGTTGATCTCTATCTTACTATAACAATAGCGAAAGGGTTCGAGAGATACATTCAAAACACTCAATAATAGGCCTAGCAACTATCCGACGAAATCCCCAACATGAAGCATCACTTGATACCGACATTGGGCTAAAGGAGCAGGCTGTAAAACGGCTCTATCCTTTAAAAATCGTAAAACTCCTAAACTAGCGAAATGAACATTACAAAAAGTAACCAAATATGTAGAAGTGTATTTCAATTCCAAGCAAGCCATTTGTCTTATATGCAATCAATGTTCATATATTACACACGAAGTGGTGTTTAACAAAGGTACGATTTGTCTACCTGTAGCAGCTTTCGTGAAAAGACTATGATAAATTGCTACAGTCTATGGGCGTCAACTGACACAACAACTCTTAGCAGAAAGGCGTGGAAAACGTACGGTCGGAGAGCTTGACTAATAGTATAGTGTGCTACGAAATCGACATGGCACCTTATGCACTGGTCAGGCTGAGTTACGCCAAATACTATCGGATATTTGTCATTGATGTAAGTAAATCGACGCACGGCGAACGATCTGGCCGGATCGAGTATGGCGCCGTGACTACTTGTTTTTAAGCTTAGTTGTATTAGGAGGTCGTGTTTGTAAAGACCGCCAAAACAATGTGCCAGCGGTAGAACTTCGTCCGTTAATCAATAACACGATCTCGGCGTAGAAACTATAATGCAACTTACGACCGTGAACCTCGAAGCGCATTTGAAAGTGTCTCAGAATAGAAAACACTGGTAATACCTTTCGTTTTCATCAATGCCGACGGCGATACTTGCCATCGATAAACTGGAAACAGTAAAGCCGCAGTGAGTGAAGGACGAGCTTGTACAATTCGTTCTCGTCCTAAATGATAGCCTTTTTCTACGTTGACGAACACCTAGAGAGGGTACAACGTACTGCTAATTGAAGGCAATCGTTTAGCCTGCGTTCGATTTCGAACTTTGAACAGTACGTGTTTCTGGGGTCAGCTACTGGACCATTATGAGACACACGGATACATATGCGGAACTTCTCACATTTATTCCCTATGAAAATGACTTTTTGTTGAATCGTCCATTTTATTAGATAATAGAAAAGCACGCTCAGAACGAGCTAAAGAAACTGCATCGCCTTTTTCTGTTCAGCATATGTGCGATATCTTTGTCTTTTTTTTTATTGAGACCATTCACCTACCTAACCGTTAAAGTCCAAAGCAACACTCAAATTGCTTAGAGGCCGCCCTATGGTACTGCCTCAAAGACTGCAAACTTAATAAGACGTGCTAAGGGACGCCGACTTTGCCCATTAAACTGAAGGATACATGAGGTGATCCAAGTTCGAATTCGGTTATAGAAACATCATTCGTTTCGTACTGAGAACAGCCATGACCTACCCGCAGCAATGCTTGACCACGACGATACCGGACGTCAAATTCGAAATACTTACCCCGCACTCCTTCCACCGCATCTAGTTATAACGATATGAAATAAATTGTGCTATTCTATGTATGCAAGGTAAAACAAAAAACTGAAACTTTACCAAAACAGTAGACAGTAAGAAACCTTAACTTACAATAGTGTTACTTGTAAGTATAATCAACTGCTTTTGCCCTTGGCAAGAACTACCTTAAGCTCAATACTGACAAAACAAAAAGCGCATTCTCTCATTCAGGGTGACCTCCCACGATCAGTTGAGATATTCGGTGCGTCCTGCTTAATTATTGTTTGCAGTCCAACGTCTCGAAATCCGCTTTGCGTCACTGGGATTTTGCCTAGATCTACAGCTGGGATGGGGGTCCATGCAAGTCAACTATTTACAAAACTCCCTTCAACTAACTCTCACTACGGTAAACATTTATACATAAGGCATACTAATTAGCCTCGCTTTATAGCAGGCTCTGTATTCAAGTTTAGTTAAACCTTGCGCAAGGCCAGGCGTACGTATACATATTCCGTTTTTGTTCCAGCTGAAACCATACTTATTTAAAATTAGCGCCCCCAATGAGATAATACTCGTCCTTTTTCAGATTAGAAAACCTTCTGCAGCTAAAGTACCAATGTAAATTAAGATCTCTGCTAATAGGCGTTATCGAGAAGGCCATTGCTGACCTTATTTTCCGGTCGCTGCCGTTCGTGAAAAGAACGGCTGTTCGAACATACGCGAAACGCCCTATTAGGTCTTATTGTGATGTTTATCATAATTAATTTTTCTCGATAAAAATCTGTTTGCTTAGGCCGATATGGTGAATAAATTATTTATTTGAGGACACATTAACATCCACTCGAAAATCTTCGTTATTGTAGAACTTGAGCTTTAAATCGTATTTACACATTACCCCGCCAATAAGCGGCCATTCGAAATAACTTGTGTTAGTGCAGAGAAAACAAGTCCTAAAGTTATCAACTAGGTATGATTTTAAAGCGGCTCCATTTAACCTACCCCTTAGATCGTCTTCGACGCTAAACTAGCTAATATTTGTGGCGGGCATTTTGTAATATTTATTATAGTGTTTCATGTATTGTTTCCGCTAGCCTTATTTGGTGCAATGCATGCTCTGTCGCGTCTAAAGTGGTAACGTTTAGATCGGCGTATGTCAATGAGCGTGGATATGAGTAAGCGTCATGGACCTTTTTTTATAATGTAACATAGTGACAAGTAATCGAACGGTTGGCAAAAAAAAAAGTCTACATGATTATATAGTAGGATTTATAGCGATGCTCCGTTATTTCGGCTCTAGCTGTCGTGTCCGACTAGCGAAATATTTGTTTTTGATGGATCAGTCAATGATAAACAGTATACGTAAACGTCGCGAAAACCTGAAGTCGTCCATTGCATCGTTGGATTGACCCTTAAATAGACAGATTCGTATGTAAAATGTTTGTTTGTTTGTTTGTTTTGTTTCATAAGCGGTTAGCGTACGCAGCTACGCATATCCTGACCCTACTCGATTTTATGGCGGTCGGTGTTGACGCGCTTGGCTTGCTAGGGGTTTGGAACCTTTTGCGAAGGTCGGGTTAGGCCCATGCAACACTGTATCACGAACGACGCTAACCCAAATATCAACGGATGCAAATTAAATATTTCTTCCCACTCTTTTTACTCGATACGAGGAACGTATGACCACTCGAAGCTTTGCTGTTGATATCTTTTTTTTCTGAGTAAAACAATTAATTCAAAATTATTATGCATTTGTGCTTCCATGAAGCATTTTCACTCTTCTATGTTAAACCGGCATGCCACTAATACAAAACTTAGCAAAGTTCAATTTTCTCCATGCTCGGGCGACATGTACAGAATTTCCCGACTTGTCTTACGGCTTGATGATATCCTAAAATGGATAGCCGGAATTATGAATATGAAGTCGTATTATGGAGAGCCGTCAGAATGAACATAATGACCTGCCCGCGACCTGCCCTGCTAGCGACAGTGCAGGCACCGGTTAAGGCCTAAAACTACGACAAAGTCAACTAGTTACATAAGGATCGAACGGCATCAGTCTAACAGTATGGTTAAACGCCTGTAGCTGGCGTCACCGCAGGGCATGAGCATGTACGCACGTACGCAGGGCATGTACGAGCGTACACCCATGCAGACTCCGTTCACGACGATCGTACAACATTCGTCTGCCGTCGAATCAGCTCGCCCTGAACCTCGGTCGGGAACACATAAGGTCAGTCGCACAACAAGTACAAAGGCGACACGAACGACAACAGCTCAATGTACATATGCACCGCGATTTTCGCTGCGGTCGTGGTAGTATTTTGTTACGTTAACACTGTAGAAATAGCACGTTTATTTGGTTTGGAGGGGAGAAAGCGTTAGCGTTTTACACGAGATGACCGAGCAATGCGACAGTGTTTCCGTCAGGACCCGTTACCAGCAATCGGTAAACAACGCACAGAAAGCAGAAAGAAGTCTGTTTGATGATCGAGTCCGTCAGCTTTATGCTGTTTCGTCCTGCTAGTATATTATAGTATGTGTGATGTGTGTATTTGTTTGTTTGTGTGTGTGTATTCAAATGATTGGAGCGTCGCGGGCGGACAGTTCGAGAAGCAGGCTGCGGTCGGTACGATGAAACGGCTAAACGCGGCACTTCATCTTTACCGCAAGACATGAAGAGAAATGCACGAAGCGAATGTAAAAATACGTATGAGGCATGTTCTAGCCGTTGATATATTGTTTTCATTGTGCCGATTCAATCTATATAGTAATAATGCATCACGATATAAATAATACATAAAGACGTATCTATTTAGCATGTTTTTATAAGCGCGACGCAGACTGACCAGCAAAAACGATGGGTTTCCGACGAAACGATGGGAGCACAATAGCTAGGTAATCGCTGTTACTGTCGTCGCACGGCAACAATGGTTCCGGTGCCTCTGATCGTCACGGGTAGGCTTAGAGGGTAGAAAGTCATACAGAGTTAGCGACTCGTTCTGATTCGTCAGATTCACGCGGAACGTAGAGAATTCGATGGTACATTAATAACTCGATGATCTTCTACGACTGAAGGCAAATTAAGCACGATTAACTATTTCGGATCACGTATAGCCTTTGCTTTGATTGTAGATCGCACAGTCGCCGTTGCCGAGCATCTTCATGCGTACAGGAGGTTCTATGACATATCCAGACGAACAACCGAGTACCTTTTTTAGAAAACACGTGTGGTACCTGTTGTAGTCGTTAGTAGAAGGCACATGTATCCCGTTTTTGCCTCGTTATTCTTAGTCTACACGGATCGTAATGTGCGTTCCGACTACTACCGACGCTGCGGGTATTTTTTATAAAGTAGCATTGACAAGTCTGTATGGAAAAAGCTTGCGAAACATATAGACGCCGCGATACATGCTTTTTGTCCACTGTGGCTTTTTCTGCCCGCACAAATGGTCCTTCGAAAGGCCCAGCCAACGGTGCGCTCCAGGACGGAACCGCGGGCCTCTAGAAGACATGAGAGGACTCGACTCCAACTGGAGTCGAGCAACAGCTTAGCAATGGCAGTGAAACTGCCAATTACAATGGCACTCGTATGGACGCCCGCTGGTCTCTAGATTCTGGCTGGTTCTAGATTTTGATCATAGCAACTGTTGCCGCTTGCGTTCCTGAGGATGTCCCTCTCAGGTTGCTACCGCTGTCATCGAGCGTAGTCCGGCCGCGGCAAGATCTGCTAATAATTTCGTCTACCGTAGACTGTTATTGGCGCAAGCGAGAGCGCCATCTTCAGCGTCACCGCTATCACTCCGCCAGTATCGGCCGCTGACTACGTGTAGTCCGTTTAGAACTCATGACGATGACAACATCACATTGGTCTAGGTAAACATGCGGCGACGTTGTTTCAGTTTACCTCCAAATGCTTTCTCTGCGCTCGTTGCGGTTGGCTCTACCGCTGCATATGTTCTCCTGCTTCTCGTCTTCTTTCCAACGGAGCGAGTGCGGAGCTAGCGGCAATGGAATAGCAACTGTGACAAAAACACGTTCACCGCCGCTGTTAGCAAAAGGACTTCCATTAGAAAGATGATGATGACGATAGCGCTAGATGCAGTCGTGCGCAGGAGGTGACCTGTATAACGATTGACCCAACGATTCCGTAGCCAAGGGCCGTTGCTGGTCGTTGATCGTCTGTAAGAGCAACTTACTGTGTTCGCGGGCCTGTTAATCTGCTGTTTATGTGTTTATGCGTTTGTCTCAAGCGATCCAGGTCTTTCCATCGGCCACCTATTCTACAATGTTAGACCCGCCAACGTGTATTTGCTATTTGCGATCGCCGGATGACAAACTCGCCAGAACAGCGGCTTCTGAAATGTAACCTAGGTAATGTTCATTACCCGCGTACAAATCGGGCGGCTACGATGTACTTTCATATATATATGTATATGTATGTGTTCCCTTGCCGATATGTGTCTGGTTAGAGAGTGCCACCATTAGCGCTCGGTTTTTGCATATTTAGATGGTCGCACGCGCGCGGTGAGAAACACAAACACCATCTGTTCGGAATAACATCGATCTGATGTAGCGTGGATTGGAAAAACGTACGAATGCTGACCTATTCTATAAACTAATATCGATCTGCCACAGGACAAGGTCACAACCAGAGGTCGCTGCACGCTGAGGAATTGTCAGTCGCATTGAGAGCAGAACGACATAGAAACCGTAGTCAAATAATATAGAAACGTCAAGGAGGAAACTCAACGCGAACGGGTAGTTCTCATGAGCTGAGCAGCAAATTATTCACTACACGCACTAGTTTATGATGGCATAAGCGCCGATCCGACGGACCATCGCAGCGAGCATTACTATGGTCGTAGACAAACACGTTGCCGGTGCCTCGAATTGTTTCGCTGCAATTTCCAGGCCAGTTTTGCCAGCCGTCTGGTCCTAGTTTCCATTGCTACCGCTTATAGCGCTGAATCGAACAGACGCGGCCGGCAACAGCTGAACGGCGACATGGCTCGATCAAGCCATAAAGTAAACTGACCAGGCAAGTCACGTAGTCTAAGAAATGAGCTGCGCTACAGCCTGCCTATTTCTACCTGTCTTAGCCTTTAGGTTGGCGTCAGGGGGTTGCGCGTGAACCAGTGTTATGGGCTGGCCGTTATCGCGGTGTCTGCTGAGATCGCTGATCGCCATTAGCAGGCATGAGACTGCTGTGAATTCTGCTACTGTCGTAGGCATGTTGATAATTTCCCGCGCGATACGTTACAGCTGAATATCATGCCGCCCGGATCCGTCTACTAAACCACTGCGTACGAAAACATAATCTAATATATATATATATAGCTAGAATAATTATGAGTTGGGCGAGGAACCGTAGCATCGTAGTTGTCGACGGAACGAATTTGCCCGCAGTACGTATATGTATTATAGAGGAAAACGACAGTAAGCTAGCATATTAGCGGAGTCCTTAGAAAGACCATGGCAGTACGTTAGTACATTGTAGATATACGAAACAAGCGTAAGGTATCTATCTATGTTGAATACGGGCGGAGTTGTTTAATGAATAAGGCTTTTGTGGGGAGAGGGAGGGGGATAGGGCGGGGGATGGGGAGGGGGTAAACCCCATCTGCCAAGCCGGATCCTGCGAGGCTTTTCCACGACAGATCGTCGACGAGCGACAAAAGAGTAATCGATGACGGCTAAACGCTGCCATCAAGTGACTCGCATGAGATTTGGCTAAAATCAAAGATGTCTTGTAACTCCAGCCAGCTTTCGGGGTACAGCAGTAGTGTCTATAGCTACCTATGGATGAAATAATAATATCATGTATAGTTTCGCAGTGAATAAACGTTGGATGCTGCGCCCGCGTGTTTAACAACTATATTTAGTATAGGGAGAATAATATGCATCGACTATTTGAAGATATTTCTTCTTTGTCGACTTCACCGCCGGTCGTCGACAAATCTTCGAACAGTGACACCTCGTTGTTAGAGACGGGTCAGGGTTCATTGTGTTTGGTTATGCATATGTTACTGCCATGATCTGATTATTTAACTGTACCAACGGTGCTTGTGAGTAAATTCAGAAATCAAATGTTCTAAAAACGTAATAGATGCGTGAACGTAGACATTGCTGTATAATCAAGTGAATTTCTAAGTAGGCTCAGCTTTCCAAGAATGTTGATGCGAACGAACGCTTATTTCGAAAAGCTGTTGATTCTGCTCGTTGATATTACCAAATCGTTGTTGTGACACTGGCTCAATTCCGAATGCCTTTTTCGCCCAAGACTGTTTTTCATTCATCTACACAGAACACACTTCACGAGAGCTCCACCTCGAAGCTCCGGCCAACCGTGAGGTTGCTATGAGTACTGCTCGACGGGTTCTAACTATACAAAGGGTCTGCTTCTCTGTGCCAAAGTATTAGCTTCCGCAAAATCTAATAATAGATAAATATCTATCTAATAAACGTAACAGCTATCGCAGCGTGAACGTAGTCGGCCGCTGTGAACTGCTCTTCGGACGAGCATATTCAAGCCTAGGGGGATAGCAAAAGACAGCTTGGTAACGAGTCCATAAACATAATTTCAACATCTTTTGTAGCTGTCGACATGCGTATGTGGCAGGTCTAACGCGCTCGCCAGCTCTAAACCCATACAAGCCAAATCACATGGCCAACTTTATTTTCCGGGTCGGTGTTGTCATCGGGTCAGAATGTGTCTTGTCGAAGACAACAGCCGTCCAGGGCCCCAGGTATTTATTAACTGTACATTGCGGGTCGTCAACGTATGATGTCTCTATATCATAATGATCTTCTTCTATGGTATTAACTAGTAGCTCAAGCGAATATGGCGAACACAAAGGTTGTTATGGTCACTTGGCACATGTAAAAACTCCTTTGTAAATTAGTTACAAGTTCAACTATTCCAGTGCCTTCGCTTTCCTCGGTAGCAAAGAGAACGCCTCCGAAGTAACAGAATAACCGAGGTGTGTATGTAAATTTAATTGCATGAATCAGTGAATACAAGCTGGGACGTCTGAAGCCCAATAATATCTGCTTCAATATCGGGCTGCATTTACAGCCATGAGTCGCGCTACGGTGTTGATTCGAGTCGTTCGATCATGTCTATGTTATTTATAATAGGTGCTCTGTCCATTTGAAGAGCCAATTACGAAAAGGAGATGGTGTTATCTCAACTTTTCTCGTTCTTATTGAACATCCGTACTCCGAATAATAAGAATCATGTAAAAGCGGACGGCATAGCAGGTATAAATTGCAAAAGTACGCAGTCAAACGCTGGTATGTTTGTTTGGTAATTATAGGTCTGACGGGATGGTATCGCCGTCTGGAAACATTCGAACGAAATTTAAGCATGCATCGTATAACGATCTGTTGAAAAATGAGGAGAGAAAAACTTAAGCTGGAATATGTTTACTATCACTGTGTTACAAGCCCATGTCAATGATGTACATTCTAATATTCCATGATGTAACGATGTATATCTTCATAGAGGCGTTTTAGTATCAAACAGTAATTTCGACTAAGCGCTTGATTTACTGTTGTAGGAAGTGATGATTCGTAGAATTACTATCTACTAGGCTTGAGTATAGGCAAACAAGGCGGATGGCAGCGACTCTCTATTGGATAAATGACGTTCCAATGGCAGAGTGGACACAGGGACCCGATCGCCGATACGTCGTCACAAATGGATGAGTTCTGCTCTACTATCAATAAGTGAAATTATGTATGAACATAGTTAATGAACTGTGACATATTGAATCCATAATGAATCACGCGTATTCGGCGTAAACATCTCTACTTTTTTGGCTTAAGTTCTATCATCGGCGGAAGTGACGGCAAGCGACCAGCGTGCACGATAGCTTTATGTTACGGAAAAAATGTCACGCTATGAGAAAGTGCGCTAGATTTCATAAGCAAATGCTAAAACGTTCATACACTTTCGAGTTAATTACCACAGGGCTAGCTATGGCCTACGGTTCAATTTAATTTTTTGGCAATTTTTTTTAATCGATCTCTAGTTTCGACCGAAATCGTCTCACGAGCACCTAAAAGATCAATAAATCAACCGATACTTTTGCCGATTTTTTTCTAAGTCAACCACATTTTATCCTAGCTGCTGATTATGTCGGACCGTCATATCGCCTCGTACAAATAAGATTCTGGCAGGCAAAGAACAACTAATATAAACAGTAATCTTCAGCTCTTGGTCGCGCGATCAACAGACGTAAAATCCCGTTCCAAAAGAGAGGATAACAGTAACCTCTTACCTGAACCGGAACCCTCGTGAAAACTGGCTTCCAGAATTACTTGCAAATGTGTACTACTTTCATTTACGAAATCGACAATATCTCTATTGTTTTATCAAGCAATGTATTACATACAGATTTTTCTTCTTTTTTTTTCATCTTTCCCAATCAGCATCTTGTTCTCTAAAAGTTTCGAAACGGGAAGCAGGATTGCGTTGTTCCGGTTCCGTTTTAACAGACTTTGAAGGCATGAGGGGCAAGTTCAGCGATGTGCATTCGTAACGCTGATAATTACTTCATCATATTTTTTTTTTAGTTCTTTGTTGCGTTCGCTGTCAACTAGATCCATCCGTTTCCTAGACGAGGGCCATAATTTGTTACGAGCATATAGGCTTACTTCTAGTAGTACTGACTAGGGGCCACATTGGGGTCCGCGATAGCGCTTGCAGCGATACTGGCTGTTGTCTGGCA